CTCGCTTCGCTCCCAAAAAAGGGAGCAAAGGCATTTGGGAGACGGAGGTTCCCGGACTCCGGAGGAGCACCCAATTTTCGCTCTCCCTAAGTTAAGGGAGAGCTTTTGGGGCTCTACTCCTATCCAGGAGTACTCACCTCGACCCCTTCGCCCGGGGCACAAGGTTCCAAGCCGCTGAACAGCTGATGTCCGCTGTTCAAGCTGGCTCTGACGCCTTCCCAAGCGGACGGCTCCAAAAGAGCCGCCATCGGCGCGCCGTCCCACCGGAAGTCCAACATATGACAATTAGGACTAGAATTTCAATTGCTAAGCAAGGCAGTTATTAAGTAAACTGTGCCTGATTTAATGAGCTTTTTGCTATGATTGTTAAGCAAATCACTGCAGCTATTATGTGACTCATGTGGTTGTTCAGCCGACCTGGCTTCCCCTCTTGACTCTGCTTGTCAGAAGCCAGCTGGGAAGGTTGCAAATGGCAATCAGATGATCCCACGATGCTGCAACCATTATGAATACATGCCGTTTGCCACGTGCCCAAATTTTGATCACATGACCATTGGGATGCTGCAACGGTCATAAGTGTGAGGACCAGTTGTAAGTTACTTTTTTCAATGACTTTGTAACTTTGAATGGCTGCTAAATGACTTTGTAACTTTGAATGGCTGCCCAAATTTTGATCACATGACCATTGGGATGCTGCAACGGTCATAAGTGTGAGGACCAGTTGTAAGTTACTTTTTTCAATGACTTTGTAACTTTGAATGACTGCTAAACTTTGAATAGTTGTAAATCTACTTACAACTTAGTTGTAAGTCTGGGATGATTGAAAGCAGACTAGAGGACAACTTCCTGTTTGCCTTTCAGTAAATAGGGGCTTTGCAGAAATCACAATGTGTCTTGCACACACACACAAAAATCTCTGTTGACCACAAGACAGCAGCAAATCAATAGAGATAGAAAACTCTTTGCTTTCACCTAGCGATTGCCTTTATTTTAACACCCCAGAGCTAATAGATCAGAATTTCTCAACTTCAGCAACTTAAGTTGTGTGGGTTCCAACTTCCAGAATTCTCTAGACAGCAGAAGTCTGGGAGTTGAAGTTCACACATCTTAAAAATTCCTGAGGTTGAGGAAAAACTAACAGATCATCTAAGTGAAGATGCCCTCTATTTCCAAAATTTTCTAGGTAGTCCAGACCCAAAACTTTGCCAACTCCTCAATGTTCTATGGATAGTTTGTTTTTGATTCAGATCTGAACTGACCTTGCACTGACCACTTTATTGATTAGGTCAAAGGTTACATTTATCTCTGCATTCCAGCTAAACTGAGGGCTGGGAGGCTTTTTATCAGTGTGTACATTGGTGGGGAGTGCTATATTTTAGCAGCCTTTTAATCCAGGCCTTTGGCAACTATCTCCTGTTCTCTCTCTAGGATCTACCATGCGGAGCTCTTTATGTCTTCTTTTCCTGTTCAAAATTCTAGTCCCTAGTTTTGCCGCCTCTCTCCATAGCCAACCTGACCAGCAACAGATTGAAGAAGGTAAAAGTAACTGGAAATTGGGGATTTGTTATCCAAATTTAGTGGCAGATTTAAGGAGAAGGATGCTTGCATGTTCTTCATATGGAGTATCAGAAGATGTTAGCAATAGGCAATACAGCACGAGGGAAGTACTTTGGACTCAAAGACAAAATGTTATTTTGTTTTGTTTTGAAGTATACGGGGACATTCAGGTAACTCCTACTTACTGATCCTGAAATCAAATGCCTCTTTTCCCAGGATTGCGTGATAGCTATAGAAGGTGGCCATACAGTGCTAGGAAAAGACAGAAGTGCTTTATAGGGTGAACACTTCAAAGCACCTTTTTGCCTTTTTGCCACCGCGCCCTCAAGACCTGGTTGTTTCAGCGGGCAGGACTGGCCTAGGGGTATTTTAAATTGGTTTTAACTAAATTTTAGTAGAAGCGGCCTATTTAAATATTTATTTTTAATCATTTTCTTAAATTTTGTATGTTGTATTGTATTAAGTTGTTTTTAAACTGGCTGTAAGCCGCCCTGAGTCCTCCGGGAGAAGGGCGGGGTATAAATATAATAAAAATTCAAATTCAAATTCACAGAAATTCCAATTAATTTCCTTCAGTCTCCTTTGATATACTTTAGGTTCTGCAGCAAACAAAAAAAGCACAGTCAGATTTCTACTTTAACTTCCAAACATTCCCAAGTAATAAGAAGCCAACATCCAGTTTTCTAGATGCAAATGCTCCTGAAAAATAGAGGTCACGAGTGGCAGAATCAATGTCCTCTAAAAGAACCTTCGCTAAACCAATTTTATTTAAAGAGATTTAGATATGACTGCTCTTTCTTTTTTTAAAAAATAATCTTATTAAAGATTATAATAGAAATAGGAAGGAAGGAAGGAAGGAAGGAAGGAAGGAAGGAAGGAAGGAAGGAAGGAAGGAAGGAAGGAAGGAAACCTGCTGTTCCTGAATGTTGATGCTTAAGTAGAAATCCTGTAGAGTCATTTAACTAAAGAGATCATCATTCAAAATTGCCTAGTGATGATCTCTTTAGTTGTCCAAAATTGCCCAATATTCCTGGGTCCCCATTCAGTATTCTGAAGAGAAGGGTATGTAACCCACAAACTGATGTTGCCTGCAGCCCTTGATAGCTAGCATAGGGAGTTATGGGTTTGGTCCTAATTTCTAATCTCTGTCTAAGAGATTGATTCAGAATTTTAGCAAGAGTAGGTTGCCCTTGTCTTCAACAGCTTGGCAAAGAGGAAAGGAAGTCAGAAAACTGGCGAAGGGAGGATTTCTTCATCCATTTTTGCATCTGGAATGGCTTCAACCTGCCTACCATAGCAGCCCAAGGTTGCCTGAACTGGGAACACCATTTGCCACCATCACACATACTTTCCCATGCATCTTCTATCTGGGGCAAGATGCACTCCCTGGCCGTTTCCTCCCCAATTGCTATATAAATGCCATTCTGATTGGACCTCAGAGCCACGACTGGGAAATTGTGGCAGTCGCATCCCTGGGCACCAGTCTGACACTCTCCCTTGAGCATGTATTTAAACATCTTTGTGAAGCAGTGCATTTGGGCAAAATTAAATGGGTGGACCATGGATCAGGAAGGTACCAGTTTTCAGTCTGCTACCTGGCTTGTCACTGCTTTATTTTATGTAATAATACAGGTAGTCTTCCCTTAATGATGGTAAATGGGAGGAGAATTTCCATCACTAAGTAGTGCAGTCATAAAGCATGACACCATGTGATTGTGCCATTTAGCAATGGTAGTTTCAGCAATTCTATTTACTGAAGTTAAGTGAATATCATAAAAGTTGTTAAGCAAGGACTTCGCATGACTGCAACTTCTGACTTCCTGCCAACTTCCAGGAAATGAGCAGAAAATGTCCCAATTTGTGATCACATGACCATCAAGGTGCCTTAATTTTGAAGACTGGTTGTAATTACCACTCAACACTATCACAAGTTCAAACTGTCACTGAATGGATGATTGTTAAACAAGGATCACTGTATTTGTCATCATTGCTTGCAGTTACAATGGTGGTGGAAAAGTAACTTTACCACCAATCTTCACATTTAGAATCTTTGCAGATCTGTAAAGCAAAGGAAAGTCAAAGTAAGAGTGTAAGCACAGTCGTAATTTCATTCTGCACTGCTTCCCTTACTGCTATGTTGCTGGTTCCCATTTCAGTTGCTAAACAAAGACTACCTATAGAGCCAGGGATGTGTCCCTCACAGAAATTTTCTTTGCTAATCTTTGCTCCATTTTCTATATCATCTGTTCTCTCCTGCTTTAAACATGAAATGTAGCTAAAACCAACAAGAGGCTGCACTCAATAACTGCCACAGTACAGGCTGTCTGCACTTCTCCCCACAATGCTAATGATCCATTTACTTCACAAAGACCAGCGATTAATGCTTCTCTGAGTCTTGCAGAACCACATTCCATATGCATCAGGGAATGCAGAATGAGGGGAAAATGCAAATAATAAGCTTTTGAGTGGTTCAAAGCTCTTTCCTAAAGGGAAGGCTTGGAATTGGGACTAGAAGTAAATAACAAAGACTTATTCATGGTGTTTAGGATGGGATCATCTGGAAATATAATTGAGGAAGGAATAGAACCTTATAGGCAGAATAGTTAGCACAGGGTTCTCTCTCAAACTCCCCCAAGTCTCTGGTCTGTTTACATGTGAATGGGGATACCCCAAATTTATTTGATTTATAGCTGCTACTTGTAGCAAAGTCGAACAGACATCAGCCTATCCTCTTTTCTTCCTTGTACTAGAATTCAGGGGTAGTCAACCTTGGCTCTTTTATCACTCGTGGACGACAACTCCCAGAATTCCTGAGCCAGCTAAGCTGGCTCAGGAATTCTGGGAATTGAAGTCCACGAGTCATAAAAGAGCCAAGGTTGACTACCCTGTACTAGATTGTTCTCTTCCAACAATGGAACCTCCCTTTGGAACTGTTGGTACTGGTAGGAGAGTATTATCTTCCAGACTTCAGGATTGTGAGACAGGCTGGTGGAACTGTTTTCCAGCAGAGTAAAATGGCTGGAGAGTAGGAGAAAGGGTAAAAGGGCTGCTGCTGATCCTGCAACAAATGCTTTCTCAAAAACAGTTTCTGATTACCTCCACTCCCCCCATGAAATTATGCAGCCAAACTCCATTGGCAATTCATTGAGAAATGCTGGTGTGGTTTCCTGTCATATTTTTGCAGGAAAACTGCAAAACTGATGTGTAAACTTTATTTAAACTTAATATCTCAAAAATTCTGTAAACCCTGTTGGGAATAAAAAGTTCCATCCCTGTCAATTTCATAAATGTCACTTGTCAATTTCATAAATATCACATGTCACTGTGGTACTTGGTTGCTAAAAAAAATAGAGAAGCATTTCATGGAAGAAATGTAACTTCTAGCGAATCAAAGTTTACCCATTTTTATAGTAACTTAACAGAATAGCTGGTCCTTCTGAAATTCTGCATTTCTTTACATCTGCTCATGTTCCCTCTATTAGGGAGTAAAAGGGAATTGGATGGAAATAAAGTCTTCCTGCTAGACCAGAGGTCCCCAACCTTTTGGGCACCAGGGACCAGTTCTCTGGAGAGAGGTTTTTCCGCGCACTGGAGGGTGTGTTGTTTTATGTCCTGCCTGCATCTCGCGGATGGGGCTTTGCTTGTTTGTGCGGACCAGTTGCTGGCATGCCATGGCCTGGTACTGGTCCATGGACTGGGGGTTGGGGACCCCTGTGCTAGACCACCAAGACTGCTAAATGGTATTCCCCTTTTAGATATTTTAGTAGTCCTTGGGTTTTTTGCCTCCTTTATTTAACAGGCATCTAGGTCTACAGCATAACAGTATAGACCAGGGGTAGGCAACCTTGGCTCTTTTATGACTCGTGGACTTCAACTCCCAGAATTCCTGAGCCAGCTGTGTTGGCTCAGGAATTCTGGGAGTTGAAGTCCACGAGTCATAAAAGAGCCAAGGTTGACTACCCCGGTATAGATTATAGAACAATGTTTCTCAATCTTGGCAGCTTAAAGATGTATGGATTTCAAGTCCCAGATTTTTGTGAGAATTGAGGAATTCTGAGAGATGAAGTATACACATCTTCAACACTGCTGTTGCAATGTTTGCAACTTGTGCAACTTCCAGATGCTTGAACTTCAACTCCTAGAATTATGCAGCAATGACCCTGCCAGCAGGGAATTCTGACTTTTGAATCCTAAAGTTGCCCAAGTTCAAAAGCATTGCTTTAGATCTTATACCCTTTCTCTCAGAACCAAGGGTTATTGTTCATAGCACTTCATGCCTGCTCCAAACTCCAGGATAATATCTGCTCATTCCTGTTCCCAGTGTTCCTGGATGCCACTTCTGCAAACAAATTCTTGAGCCGTAAGATTCTTTATAACCACTGGGATTTTGAGCTGATTGTGCCAGACAACTTGGAGCGTGAATGCAGAGAAGAAGTTTGCAACTTTGAAGAAGCTCGGGAAGTCTTTGAAGACGACTCAAAAACAGCTGAGTATGGGAAACTGGACTGGCTTAGGGTGGGCACTTAAATGTCATAAAAAGAGGACATGTCTCCTCAAAACGGATATTTATTTGTTTGTTTGTTTATTCATTCATTTATTAATTTATTCATTTATGCATTTATGTAGTGTACTTGCTACGCAATTCCAAAAAGACTCTAAATGGCTTACAGTAAAATAGAAAGTGTTAAACTAATTAAACTCCCCAACCAATTGACACCTAGCTACTGACACACCAAGGCAAACATTATTAACAATAAATGTTCCCTTCACTGAGGGAACTCTCAGTATGATTTTCCTGAACTGTAGTAAGGTTGGGGTTGACCTGAGCTTGGCTGGAGCATTTTTCCAAAGGATGTATAAATAATGATAAATGTAAAGGAAATGTAACATACCTTGTATTAAAAGGAAGAGAGTAACTATCGATCTATTCCTTTGCTGTCCTGTTATTAGATATCTTTATGCTCTTTGTTTTTCTCCTCTTTTTTATTTTTAAATTGGAGAGTCCGTTAAAGAATGCAGGTTTTCAAATGGAGGGAAATTCTTTGTAAAGTCGAAGAAATGACCATCTTAGCCTCTTCTGTTACCCTAAGGCACGGGTGTCAAATTCGATCACATCACATGACGTATCGTGACGTATCGCGATGTTTTTGCCTTTGCGGAGCGGGGGTGAGCATGGCCTGCACATGATGGATCCGGTCTGCAGGCCACCAGTTTGACACCTCTGCCCTAAGGTAATAATAATAATAATAATAATAATAATAATAATAATAATAATAATAATAATAATAATAATAATAATAATAAAGTTGGAAGAGACCTTGGAGGTCATCTAGTCCAACCCCCTGCTCAGGCAGGAAACCCTATACCATTTCAGACAAATGGCTGTCCAGTCTCTTCTTAAAAACTTCTAGTGTTGGAGCATTCACCGCTTCTGGAGGCAGGTTGTTCCACTGGTTAATTGTTCTAACTGTTGTGTGTTGCACAATAGTCTTGAATTGTGAACGTATAAAGCTGAATAGTGAGAAGATGAAATATGATAGTAGAAAAATCATTCTAAACCATAATGAACATAATCATGATTAAATGAGATGTCTGAATTGAACAGTAATTCTTTTGGCTTCTTACATTTTAAATGTCCAAACATTTAAAGCTTTGTGGGGATTTTCGTACTCTGAGTTTGGTGGTTTTCTGGCAGATGCCTCATTACCAAACTAGGTAACATCATCATCAAGTTTCAAATATCAGATTTCAAATATCAGATTTAAAGTTTTTTCTCTATTCCATGCATCGGCTGAGCAGAAAGTAATATTTATAGGAGAGAATTTGGATATTGAATATACTAATATTCAATACCCAAATTCTGTTCAATGTATCCTGTTGAGTATCCTGTTGAACAGGAGTGCTGATTTACCACCAGCTTATCAAATACTTAGGAGGCGAGGGCTTGACAGCAGAAGCAAACAACAGCTAAGGACTTAATAGCCAACCATAAACACCCCAATCAACAACTAAAAAGCCACATACAACAGGCACCATATAAATATCACACACAGAACAGTCCAAAGCACACACTCTGCTAGAGAGAGGTTCCCTGAAGAGGGGCACAAGTACAAGTCCGAAAGCTCAGAAGACAAAACCACTGGTCCTGGTGACTGACCCAGGACACATAAATTCGCCTTCATTTGTATTGAATATAGCATTGTGTAAGATGTAACAATCATGTGAACGGTCATATTCAGGCTAAATACTAGATCATGGTCTAGGATGATAAAAATTAGGTTCAATACTCTTTCCTTTGCTTGGGCTTGAATGAAAAGAAAATTTGGGAAATTCTACTTGCATTTCAGATTAATAGCATTTAGCGCTTTGTCACTTGACCCTTAAATATAGGTTAATCATCACTGTGCTTTGTTGAAATAAGCCAGCTTCAGGACTTGTAGCTTTTTACAGTTGGCCATTTCAGATAGTCCATATTTAAGGATTACTATGCTCTGTCAGGTTCAGATTACATTGTAAATTTCTGTTCCTTTAACAAAGAGGTTTCAACTCTTTTTTCTGATTGTATGATAATAGAGAATAAACCAGCAGGTGCATAGAGAGATGATTAACCACAGTTTATCACTATTGCTGGCTGCCCCAAAGTTCCAAAGTTGTAAAGTAACTTAGTTCAGCATTCCCCATTTCCAGCTCAGTGGACTGGTGGAGATGGTGATGGTAGGATGGTTTTGCATGTGTGCGCATGTCACTTTCACAAATGCAGCTACCTGCGCATGCACCACACACCCATTCGCTCCCCAACAAATGGGCTGTCGCTCAGCAAAGAGCCGTGGACAGGGGTTTGGGGACCCCTGATTTAGTTGATTAAATCAGTTCTCCTTATTAGATTTTTGTGGAAAGTTCAGAAGAGCTAGATTCATTGTGTAAGCCACAAGCAAGATCTCAATTGAGACCTTGATTCATTGTTCCTAAACTATGTCAGGGAATCTCTGACCTGAAAAAGTGGGAAGTGAAACCAGCAACTGTTTGAAATGGTTAGCAGAGAAACAAATTACAGTTAAGTCCCAGATTATTTTGCGTGAATCAGGTCATTTGTGTCAGCATACAATTTGACCTGAATTTTTTGAGGTTTCTAGCATGCTGTCTGCATATCTGGATTTTATTTATTTTATTTTAACAGGTTGATAGTTCATCTATAAAGTAAGGGATAAATAAACAGAGTTTCACAAAACACAGCCAATGGTTTCACCCATCCCAGTAACTCTTTACTAAACAAGCCACGTTATAGTTTAACATAAAGTGTGGATCTAGTTATTAGATTACTCTTCCTAGTGGAAAATGTACAATCCATCAATCTCTTCTTTAACTAAAAAAGCTGCTATATTGGGAGTTTTTGATTCATGCCTATGTATGGCACTCTATCTTCCTCGTATCTTCCCTTCAAATCTCTCTATGGTTTTACAAACTGGTATTTGTGGAGACATACCATTTAATTAATAAAGGATATTCTCAGTCAGTCTTCCCCAGCCTGCAGGGGGCTTATATCTATACAATCTGGTGGGAAATGAACAAAGGAAATTTTCTAGGGACAGTGACTGATAGTATATAATTTGACTCAAATTAACTAACTCTGACTCTTTCAAGGCCAACTTTCCAGGCCATTTTAGTCTTCAGGGAAATTCCAGTGCATACAAATATGGATTTGAATGCATTCTTATTGGCCCCTCAAGAATTAGATGCATCCAATAAAAATTATTTGAAGTTAATGTATTTGTTTACTTTAATTTCTAGTTTGATACTAACTTTGTAAGGTTAATGTTTGTAAGCCACCCGGAGTCACCTCTAAAAGAGATGGGTGACACACAAATTTAAAATAGGCAGGCAGACAGGCAGACGCACACACACTCAGACATGCAGAATAGAATTCATTTTGGGGACATTATCTTTGTAAATATGAATAAAACAGTAACAATTGTCTTACTGATTGCTTTGTAGTGTTCAATTTTATGTTTTTAACTTAGTAAAATTTATTTTCTACTAACCTGTTTTCAAAAGCAAAGTGCAACTAGTTAACAATCATACTCCTGGTTAATAGATAAAACATTTAAGAAATTTAAATTATAGTAGGTAATTCGTTAGCAACATGACATTTCCCATTATTTTTTGCGAATGAAGCGTTGGTTTAGTTATGGGACTCTTGAATAGTGCTGGGCCAATAGCCACATTAGACTTTTGCGGCAATAGAGGTTATGGTTCCTGCCCCAGTATATATGTCAATTTAAGAATGTTAAGATGGTTAGATGTTCTCTCTGACTATTATGATCATTATAGTTTTTCATTTAAATTTTAATTGAATTGTCAGATCTCAACTGAATTGTCATATTACTGCCATTTTTTCTATAGTAATGAGCCTTATCTGTTGAAGATAATGATTTATGTATCCAAGGGAATTAGCTCTATTAAATATAATAGTTGTTAAGGCACAGCTATAGAACCAATAGGTCATATGCAAAATGCTTCTCCACCCCCATTTTTCTGTGGGTCTTGAATCTGAACTGCAGCATGGCAGAACACATATGAAAACAAGTGTGAGATATAAAACAGGTTTTAGAATAGATTTAAAATAATAATAAAAGGAAACAAACTTGCAGTTGTGTGTTACAGCTTCAACCTTTCTTTCTTTCTTTCTTTCTTTCTTTCTTTCATTCATTCATTCATTCATTCATTCATTCATTTATTCAATTTTTATAACAATTTTTATTGCAAGCTACCCAGAGTTGCTTTGCAGAATAAGATGGGAAGCATATAATATAAACAAAAAAAATCAATAAATAATACTGTTGATGCCTCTAGCCACTTTGATGTAGTGATTAAGTTGCTGGCCTGTGAGCTCTAGGCCTGCCTTAGGCATGAAAGTCAGCTGGGTGACTTTGGGCCAGTCATTCCCTCTTAGCCCAACCCACCTCACAGGGTTGTTATGGAGGAAAGTATTTCCAACAATACAGGAACACATACAACTCTTCCATATGCTGAGCATTATTTATAAAGAGCATGGAAATTCTATGGAAATTTGCATTTTTGCAGAGATGAGATATATTTCTGTAGTGCCTTCATGTTCATGTATAGTCAGGAAAGCTAAACAGGCTTGTACTTGATTTGTATTTATCAGTTGAATAACTCATTAAGATACAGCAATACAATACCTTATACAGTCTTTCATGTCTGTCAGGTAACTTATTTCATAATCCCTGCGTATGATTATATGGATGATGAAAGTTTTAACTCTCACACATTTAAAAGACATGGAACTGGATAAGATTGCATTATCAAACAAATCTTCCAGTCTGCATATTTATAGTAATAAGTACAATTTATATATCTTATCATATCCCACAAAATAATTTACTATATATAATCTAGAATAGTTTTCAGAAGCTAGTTGGAGAAAGAATGCCTCTTTGTGGATTTGTATTTATTCGTTGCTTTTTTTAAAAAAATGACCAGCTTTTTAATGTTTGCTTTTCAAACATTTGTGAGTTTATTATAAACTGATTACTGTAGTTATTGAATGTTGCAGGTTTTCTTTTCTTATAGGATGGTGCCCTCTAGTGTATTTCTTATGGATTACAAGTATTAGATTCGAGTCAGGATTCCTGAGAAATCTGGCCCAATGGGATCACAGTATAGCAATTTACTACTGTGCTAAAATAGAGGTGTGGTCAGCACTTGGTCTTCTTGAACAGCTGACCAACCACGCTGCTGATTCTCCCCAATACCATTTTAATTTTCTATGTGCTTCTGACATTGTCATTTTGGGGCAGTGTTCAATATTTAATAGGTAGTTGCACATTCCAGTAGAGAGAAGTTCCCTGAGATGGGCTCTAGCACGAGTCCGAAAGCTCAGAAGACTAAACTTCTGGTCCTCGTGACCATCCTAGATTGCATCCTGCAATATTATTCTGGGACAGCTATATTTCCCTTCATTCGTGAAAGTTGGCTAGGTCCAGGTGCCCCAAATAGTATCACCACAGGCAAATAAGCCCTTCAACACTTAATTTGATGTTTTGGAGCTAACGCTATGTTTTTCCCCTTTAACAACTGGGAAGCTATTGTACAAAATTATATTATGAGCAGAATAGAACATGCTTTATTCATTGTTTTATCGGGCGACTCCTAGGCAATGGGATCTGCTCAGTACATATTGGTTGCTTTAGTCTCCTATGGGCCTCTCCTCTCCCTCTGGTCCCTGGGTGTTGTTGCGTTTTGCACAGTGGGAATCAGGCTTTATTTTGTTCCTGGAGGGCCTGGATCAATGCAAACAGCAGTTGACCAGCAATAGCAGTAGGGAATCTATCCAGCGTAGAGAGAGAAAGATCTTATGCAAATCCCATCCTTCAACTTATGAACTGCTGTTTGGACTGTCAGATGTTCAGGTTGATCCAGGTCTCCAACTCAGGCTTTGGCTCTGAGATGTGAGGCTACATAGTGGTCCTCCTCTCCTGCATTATCTGTCTCTTCTTGCAGTGTCAACATTCCCCAGCTGGGTGAAGTGGCAGGTGAAGGGTGGGGTTGACAAAATGCTGAACTCACGGGTTTGACCATCTGTCAAAAGCACAGCAGTTTCTGCTTCACGTCAGAGCCCAGGCAATTGGGATTGGCAGTGAGGAGAGCAAAACCTAGGCTGGTTTAGTTTCTGCTGTCTCACATATACCGGTAGGAGGAGAAACTTTAAGCAAAGAACCCAAGGACATTTAATACCACTTTACAATGCCTTGGTAAGGCCACACTTGGAATACTGCATCCAGTTTTGGTCACCACGATGTAAAAAAGATGTTGAGACTCTAGAAAGAGTACAGAGAAGAGCAACAAAATATGATTAGGGGATTGGAGGCTAAAACATATAAGGAACGGTTGCTGGAATTGGGTATGTCTAGTTTAACGAAGAGAAGGACGAGGGGGGACATGATAGCAGTGTTCCAATATCTCAGGGGCTGCCACAAAGAAGAGGGAGTCAAGCTATTTTCCAAAGCGCCTGAAGGCAGGACAAGGAGCACC